GCTCAAGGGGAAGCTGTATGGTGGTCTGTGGTGTCAGGATGGACACATCCCACTAAACCCAGTTCTAGTGCTGATGGAACAGAAGTAACTAAACCAGAGACTGAGTGGACTCAAACAGAAATAACCAATGCAGGAAACAATGACAAAGCCTTAGACACAATTTGTTCTCTTATGCATGAAAGCCAGTTTTAATTGTTACAGGTATTCCTTCGGCTAAAGGTGCTTGGGAGGCACTTGAGTCTACATACGAAGGAACTACATCGGTAAAACAGTCAAAGCTGCAACTGGTCAAGTAAGAATTTGAAGAACTGCGCATGAACGAGGATGAGACAGTCATCGACTTTCATACACGCGTACAGGAACTGGCGAATCGCGCAACGGTTCTTGGTGAACCATTCTCGCAGGAAAAACTTGTTAAGAAGATACTGAGATCTTTACCGCCCAGGTTTCGAATGAAAGTCACAGCCATCCAAGAGCATGATGGCTGGGAGAAAAAATCTGTTACTCAGCTAATGGGAAATCTTAAAACATATGAAATGGAGATTTTAACTGATCATACGAAAAAACAAAAAAATATTGCTTTTGCCGCTGAAAAAAATAATGTTGTATCCGATACAAATGAAACTAGTGATGATACAGTTGCATTCTTAACTAAACAGTTTTCAAAAATTTTGAAACAGGTATCCAAAAACACTCGCAACAGAAATTCACAAAAGGGAGCAACGTTGTTCAAAACTGCACCTAGGACAGGAGCGTCAAACGCCAAGCAGTCTATCTCACGTCCAGGACAGTCCAAAGAAAGGTCCAACAACAAAGGCATCAAGTGCTATGAATGCGAGGGATTTGGGCATGTACAAGCTGAATGCGCCACCTATCTTTGACGCAAAAAGTCTATGTCAGCCATTACCTGGAGCGATGACGAGCCCGACGTTGAACCAACTGGGTCAGATGTCGAAGAAATTTCGGGTAACTTTGTTACATTTATAGCACGATTTACTGACAGTTCAGAACCTGTTGAAGACTCAAAAGGTGGTGACTACGTCTCTGCAGAAGATGTGGAACAAAATGCTTTATCTTTTGAAGCTGAATTTAATAAGTTGTATCCCAAATGGGAAGCATTAAGAAAAATGAACTGCAAACTAGCTAGTGAAATTGAGATTGTAACGAATGCAAATAAAGTATATCAAAATCAAGTAGCTGATAGGAATGTTTTGCTTAAAGAAGCAGCATGTCGAGAGGAAAGACTACAACACGAAGTACAAACTGGAATGGTACTTCTTAAGGAAGCAGCTGACCGAGAAGCAAAACTCCAATAAGAAGTTCAGAGTTTGAAACAGGAGCTCAGCACCTACAAACGACAAATCCAAATGATGGATACCACTTCAACACTAGATAAGATTCTTGATTCCGGCAGGAAAACGTCTGCAAAATTTGGTTTGGGCTTCACTGGCAGTAACTCCAAAGATAAGACTCTATTTGTCAAAGCCTCTGGACCTGATCCAGACGACATCCCTGAATGCAGCACTGTGAAACACTTCTATGGTAAAGTAAACGTAAATAAGATAAGTTATAAGCTATATAATCCTGTTTGCCACTATTGCAGGTTACGCGGACATACCAGACCTGAATGCTACTATTTCTACAAAGATCAAAGGATTGAGAAGTTCAGGCACAAGAACATTCAACCGTTCACAAAACAGATTTGGGTCAAAAGGCTGATTATATATCGTTTGTTTCATTTCATACTAAAAGTGCAGGACGAGAAGAGAAATGGTATTTTGACTAAGGGTGTTCCCGCCACATGACAAGGAATGTAAAATTCCTAAAAAACGTCAATACCAGTAACGGTGAAGTTACTTTCGGTGACGGTGTCAAAGGTCAAGTGACTGGCGTAGGCACTTTAATTGTAAAATAGATGGTGTTCGTGGGCTACCAAAAATGAAAGTCGAGTCATCTATCTGCGGTGCCTGTCAAGCTGGAAAACAAATCAGATCAGCTCATCTAGCTCAACACACCATAAACACAAGCCGGTGCCTGGAATTGATTCACATGGACCTCGTTGGTCCAACTCAGACAGAAAGTCTTGGAGGTAAGAAGTATATACTAGTATGCGTTGATGATTTTTCTCGTTTTGCTTAGGTTATGTTTCTCAGGGAAAAATCCGAAGCGCTTGAGGCATTCAAGACACTGGGATTAAAACTTCAAAAAGAAAGAAACGAATCCATCAGTAGAACTCGAAGCGATCACGGCAGAGAATTCGAGAACAAGCTGTTCGATAACTTTTGTAATCAATCAGGGATTACACATGAGTATTCATCTCCAAAAACTCCAAAACAAAACGGAGTTGTGGAAAGGAAAAATCGCACCATCCAGGAGATGGGTAGAGTGTTACTCAACGCCAAAGGATTACCACAAAAGTTCTGGGCGGAGGTTGTAAACACCGTGTCACATCATCAACAGAGTTTACCTACGACCGGGTACAACACAAACTCCGTATGAACTCTGGAAAGGTAAGAAACAGAACATTACTTATTTTCACATTTTCGGCTCACGTTGTTTTATCTTGAAAGATAGGAATCCGACTTCTAAATTTGAACCGAAAAGCGACGAAGGAATTTTCCTCGGATATTCCACCAACAGCAGAGCCTATCGAGTATATAATAAAGTGACCAAAATCATAATGGAGTCCACAAACGTCGTCATTGATGATCAACCCAGTGAGATTACTGAAGTTGTCCAAACTGATCCAGTGACAGAACCTGAAACTGACCGACCTAAAATTCCTGACGCTGGTACTCTAGAACCAGACCTTGAGTCACCTATCTCATCGCCCATATGCAATCAACCCGAATCTGAACCTGAGACAGAATCAGAAAATGATCATGATGATATTGATATTCCAACTCGTATTCAGAAAAATCATCCGATCCAAAATATAATTTGAGATCCCAGTTCAGGTGTGAAAACTCGAGGTAAACCAAAGCGTGACTATCTTGAACTAGCTGGATACTCTTGCTATACGTCGCAGATTGAACCAAAGAATATCAAAGAAGCCTTAACTGATGAACACTGGATCAAGGCCATGCAAGAAGAATTGGGACAATTCGAAAGGAACAAGGTATGGACTCTAATCCCTAAACCGAATAATGTAAATGTTGTAGGTACAAAGTGGATTTTTCGAAACAAGACTGACGCAACCGGCAATATCGCTCGAAATAAAGCAAGACTAGTCGCTCAAGGGTATTCCCAAATTGAGGGAATCGACTACGACGAAACGTTTGCTCCAGTGGCTCGCCTGGAATCCATCCGATTGCTACTCTCCATTGCCTGTGCTTTAAAGATCAAGCTCTTTCAGATGGATGTTAAAACAGCCTTTCTAAACGGCTATCTCACAGAGGATATATATGTTGCACAACCGAAAGGGTTTGAAGACCCGCAACATCCAGAATATGTATACAAGCTTCAAAAAGCTCTATACGGGCTAAAACAAGCTCCAAGAGCCTGGTACGAAAGACTTGCACAATATTTACTTCAAAATGATTACAAACGAGGAGGTTCGGACAAAACCTTGTTCATAAAACGATCAGGTAAACACATAAGCATTGCACACGTTTACGTTGATGATATTGTGTTTGGGTCCACACAGACAAGTGAAACGGACAAACTGGTCAAAGTTATGCAACAAGAGTTTGAAATGAGTATGATCGGAGAGCTGACGTATTTTCTAGGATTACAGGTCAATCAGTCAAAAGAAGGGATATTTATTTCTCAAGCGAAGTATGCGAAAAATCTCATATCAAAATTCGGTCTTGAATCTGCGAAAGATGCCTGGACACCCGTCTCAACAACTACAAAATTATCTAAAGACAATCAAGGAACTTCCGTTGACTCCACATTGTACAGGAGTATGATTGGTAGTTTACTGTACCTAACTGCTAGTAGACCTGACATCATGGTAAGTGTTGGTATGTGTGCACGCTATCAAGCAGATCCAAAGGAATCGCACTTGAAGGCAGTCAAACGTATTATAAAACACGTTAAAGGTAAAATAAATTATGGTATTTGGTATTCCACTGATACTAATCTCAGTCTTACAGGTTTTAGTGATGCTGACTGGGCTGGTAACGCCGATGATAGAAAAAGCACGTCCGGAGGATGCTTCTTTATCGGGAAAAATCTGGTTGCCTGGCTGAGTAAAAAGCAAAATTCAATCTCGCTCTGCACTACAGAAGCTGAGTACATAGCTACAGGCAGTTGTTGTACACAGTTGCTTTGGATGTGTCAAATGCTGTCCGATTACGGGTTTGATTAGAAAAATATGGTCCTCTTCTGCGACAACACGAGTGCGATCAATATATCTAAAAATCTGGTACAACACTCCTGGACGAAGCACATAGACATCCATCATCATTTCATCTGAAACTAGTTGAAGAAAAAGTAATTAAGTTAGAATACATTCCAACTGACAAAAATCTTGCAGATTTATTCACGAAACCATTAGACAAATCCAGGTTTGAACTACTTCGTGCAGCCCTCGAAGTTTGTACGATTAATGTCTAAATTCTCCAGCAGGTATTTTTTTTAATTTATTTTTTATTTTTGGACTAACTGATTAATTGGTTTACGTGCGTGTTTTCTGTTACCAGGGACAAAGGGATACGAATTTGTTTGGGTTTCTTTAATCTTTCCGGTCTTATTTATGTATATATGAATTACTAATTTTCCCTTGGAATGTTTTATTTTTTTTGGATATCTTATGCTTGCATCTAGAAGACGAATTCTAGTCAAACACCATCAAACTCTCCTTTTTCCACTCATCTACTAACCTATGAATATCATTATATCTATCCTAGCCATCAAAATCTCACGCCTTTTCAAGCTACACATCAAATCAACCCATTACTTTTTGTCTCTCTTGGTCTTCCTCTCTAACCCGAGATCACCACCATCATCTTCATCTCTTCACCTTCCACCATTGTTGCTCTCTACAAGCTTCACCCATGGAAAATCCATTTCTCATCTACGTGACTCGATCAGAAAGAGCAAAACTTTTTCGAAAAATCATTGATGTCGAGTCTCCCTTATCTCCTGAAGCTACCGATAAGGTTCTTGCCACAATCAAATCAGATGGATTTCTACTAGAAGGGCTCACGGACAAAGAAAAGAGGCAAATGCTTGCTCTAGCTCGCCATATCTCCGCCACACCTTGGCCGTTTCCACCTGTGTCAGCCGCTGTCCCAGATTCCACTCTTCCCGGTCCAGCGTCTCTTGCCTCATCTCAGACAGTGGTACTCCCTGCCCTTTCTTCGCCTTTAAACACATCTAGAAAAATTGATTTTGATGTATCTCTGCCTGATCAATTTGTGTCTCCCATATCTCATGATGTTTTTGATGTTCAAACTCTGCCTGTACCTGGTGATCCTTATGATCCTTTGTCTCACAATTTACCTAGGGAAAATGTTGATTTAGTTGCTTTATCTGACTTAGTAAATTCCTTGCCATCTGCGTTTTCCATTCGAAATGTTGCCCAACATGTGTCTGTTCCAACCGTGGCTTGTTCGGCCTTTTCTATTCCCATTACTATTGCTGCGTCTAAAAGTCACTCTGATCCTGTACCCATTCCTATTTCATCTACGCAAGAATCGGTTCCCATTATCTCTGTTCCTATTGCTAAATCTTCCCGAAAGGGAAAGGAGAAAATCTCTGTTTCAGGTACTGCAGAAAAGAGAGGATTGTCACAGTTGGATGATGTTGAAACTCAAACTGATCATAAACTTCAACGGAAGGGTTCCACATTGCCACCCAGAACAACTTGGTCAAGAGCCCAAGTTGACACACATGCTGTTCCTACGCCATCTGGCTCCAAATCGAAAGGATCAAGCAAGGTCTACAAACCGCATCTTCTGTCTCCCGATTTATTTGTTGTTTGGAAAACTCATGTCAACCGGGTTTTCATCGTCGAAAAATCCATCAATGAAGAGGATTTGGCTGCCAAGTGCAATATTATCCCGCTGTTACGTTATCAAAATTTGCTTGCCCCTCTACGCCATATTGGTCCCTACTCTACATGGTTGAGAGCAGAATTTTACACAAATTTGACCTTGGACACATTCAATGAAGGCTAGCACGATTTCATCAAGTTTTCATTCGTGGCACTTGGTATCCTTTCGGGCCTACTGAGATTAATGCATATTTGGGCACACCAAATCATCCTGCTTCTCCGGATCCTAGTCCTCACTTGTTGGCAACTGCACTCACTCATAATAAAGTGGTTTCATGGTCGAGTGATGGAATTTCAAGCTTGAAGCTCACAACTGTCTACTCCGTGCTTCTTCGCCTTGCATCGGCGAATTGGGTCCTGGCAGTCCGTCGCCATCAAGTACCAGAACATCTAGCTGGCCTTCTATACAAAATCAGGAACCGTCTTCCGTTCAACCTCGGCATGGTTATTTTATCTCACTTAATGTCTTTTTTTGCAAAAGAAAGAAGCCAAAGTCCATCTCCCTTTTCCGTGTTTGATTTATGGGGTGCTTCAAGACCATGGTTTTATGCCCTATAAGGAAGAAGTGATTACAACTCCTAACAATGCTTACATTTTTGATGATCGACTTAAACAACGAGGTCATTATGATGATCGAGCTTCACTTGATCAGCTTCCTGCTATTCCACCTCCAGCGCCACTAGTTTCTGCGCCAGCCTCATCTACTGACACTACGTCAGCTTCTCGTCCAGGCTCAAGACTGGTTCCCAAAGAACCCCCAACATTGGTTGATCGTAGGCAGATTGTGCTCACTCTTGAGGCCTCTATTGCACAAGTTCAACAATCGGTCACCCCTCAACAAGCAACCATCTCTGGCCTTGCAAAGCTTCGTGATGCACAACTCGAAGAAATCGCTCGCATAGAAGCTATTCACGCTCGGGTTTTAGCTGACACTGGAGCTGCTTCCTCGGATTCTGACTCCGAAGATGAAGAAGATGATTCAGACTCGGGCACCCCGTCTGCACGGTAAATCTAATCCACTATTTGATGTTCACCTTCCTTTGTCATTTATTTGGCAAAAGGGGGAGTAAGGAGTAAGGAGTAAGGAGTAAAGGGGAGTATGGGGGAGTATTCTACTTTTTTGGATGACTATGGTACGGTTTTATTGGCTATTTTGGAAGGGCTATTTTTGGAAGTGTTATTGCTAGTCAGTATGGTAATAATGGACTTATATTGGTTAGGGGGAGTAATAGTAGTGTTTGATGCTCCTAACTATCTGTATGGATATTTTTGGTATGGTATCTCGCATGCACAAGTTAATCGGTGTTATGGTATGCTATGATTTCAACGCTTCTGTGTGTGATTCAAGAATTGAAGATTTTTTCAATTAGATTCTCTATTCACAAGTGGTCCAAAAGAATTTAATTTTTTAATTGTTTTCTAAATGTCTATGATATGTTAAGTACATATATTAAGGGCTATAAATAAAATTTAAATTGATTTTTGCCCAAAGTAATTGATACTCAAGTTTTCCAAATAAAATGCAAAAGGGGGAGATTGTAAGTGTAAAATAAATTTACACGATTGGCTATTTTATTGGCTTTACTAGATTTAAATTAAAATAGTGTTGTTAGTGTTAATTCTTTTATGGACCATGTGAGTACATAATTAGTGGCCATCATGGATTGTTTATTTGAGTCTACGGTGAAGCATTCAAAGAACAAAATGAGTGGCTGTGGCTTATTCGAACAGTGGAAGGCTAAGGAAGAGGCTACATTTGAGGATCAAACAAAAGACTCATGAAGCACTATAAAAGCATACTGTGATGGTGTCTTTGATAAGCCAGCTTTGCTCTTTGTTCAGATCAGTAAGTAAGCAGTTTTGGTTCAGCTAACAGCTTTTAGGGGCCAAGGGCTTTTTGGTCTTTTCCTGTTAAGATGGCAGTTATAACTGCCATCTCTTCCTCTCTCCTTTTATAAGGCTGTAATCTTCTTTTTCTTCTGAAGACAGAAAATCAGAATGGAAATTCAGTCGGAGCTTTTTCGAGCCAAAGTCCAGCTCAGATGAACATGAATTCGAGTCCAAATCATGCTCAACGAGCTGCTGATGAATTCGATGATCCCTGGTACCTGCATATTACAGAAAATCCTAACCTGATCCTGGTTTCTCCACCACTGTCCGAGGTGAATTATGCGTCCTGGAGCAGATCAATGAAGATAGCTCTTGAAGTCAAAAATAAATTTGGATTTGCAGATGGATCCATATTGAAACCTGAGATAAATGATCCGAAGTACACTATTTGGAAGAGATGCAACAACATAGTGTGCTCCTGGATCTTCAAATCGCTGAGTCCTACGATTGCAGAAGGAGTTTTATACCTTGAAGTTGCATCGGATGTCTGGAATACTCTGAAGAAGAGGTATTCTCAGGTTGATTCACACAGGATTGCTGAATTGCAGAATGAGATCTTATAATGTTCTCAAGGTAATCTCACAATTAATGAGTAGTTTACTAAAAGTAATGCATTATGGGTTCAAATGAATGCAATGAGACCTATTCTTGCCTATGAGTGTGTGCCTAAGTGTACCTGTACTCTGATTGGGAAGATCCAAAAGGAAAAGGAAGAGGATCAGATAATAAGATTCCTAGAAGGATTGAATGAAGAATATGAGAATATCAAATCCGAAATTCTAGTCATGGAACCTATTCCAGCCATGGAAAAAGTTCTCAATATGACTTTAAAGATGGAAAGGAAGCTCAGGAATTCTCTTAGTCAGAAGAACAATGATCTAGTTCAAGCTAATGTTGTTCAAGGTGGTGGAGATCAGAGTGCAGATGATCAACCTGTGGTTTCAGCCTTAAGCAACAACAACAAGAAGAAATACAACAGTGGAACAGGGAAAAATGTGCCTAAATGCATTTTTTTTGTGGAATGATTGGACATACTATTGAGAAATGCTATAAGAAGCATGGATATCCCCCAGGTTGGGTAGCAGGTTATAAGTCTAAGAATAAACAACAGCCTCAAGATGCTCAGCAGGTCCACAATGCTTCTGTGAACCAAATTGGTGATATAGGCCTCACTAATGATCAGTTTCAAAGGCTATTGTCATTGTTGCAAAATCAGAATCAAGGAAGTCAAGCATCAACTAATGCAGCTGTGACTGTCAACACTACTGGACTGAGACCAGAATTCAGAAATCCCATGGAGAAACATCATGAAGGCAAGTTTATCTCTAACCTTCATGTTAGTAGTGCTTTAATTTCCTCCACCATTTGGATTCTAGACTCAGGAGCCACTGACCATATACATGCTCCTTAAAATACTTTGAAGCATACAATTCTGTTCAGGGAATGTCTGTTAAGTTACCAAATGGAGAAATGTTGAGTGTATCACATATAGGACAAGTCAAGTTGCATAAAAACATATTGTTGCAGGATGTCTTACATATTCCCTCCTTCACTTTCAACATTATATCTGCAAGCAAGTTAGTGAGACAATCAGGCTATGAAATCATTATGAAACCTAACTCTTGCACCATTCAGGGACATCTTTGGAATATGGATGGTTTTGCTAAGGAAAGAGATGGATTATACATACTTTCTGATCCACCTATGAAGAAGCAGATGTGTGGTGTGAATGAAGAATCTGATATACTTTGTAATGGTTTTTCTCTGCAATTGTGGCATGATAGATTAGGGCACTTTCCCATAAATAAAGTGCAACTATTAAAGGGAATAAAACTTGCATCTTCTTCTAAACCTGTTGATTTTATCTGTGAGACATGTCATTTTGCAAGACATAAGAGATCTATTTTCCCTGTCAGTGTTACTAGAGCTGAAAGATGTTTTGCTTTATTACACATGGATGTTTGGGGCCCCTTTGCTGTGCCATCTCTCAAAGGGGAGCATTATTTTTTTACTATGGTAGATGATCATAGTAGATTTACTTGGCTGCATCTAATGACACACAAATCAGAAGTAAAGACCATATTTCAGAACTTTTACAATATGGTTTGCACTCAGTTTTCAGCAAAAATTAAGGCTGTCAGAACAGATAATGGAAGTGAGTTCATAATGACCATATTTTTCAATGAAAAAGGAATAATACATCAGAGATCATGTGTGTACACACCCCAGCAGAATGGGGTGGCTGAAAGAAAATATTAACATATTCTGAATATAGCCAGAGCCTTGAAATTTCAGTCTGGATTGCCTGATGATTTTTGGGGCCACTGTATCCTACACTCCTCTTATTTGATTAATAGACTTCCTACTGATGTTCTAAATGGTAGCACTCCATTTCAGATATTGTTTGGGAAGGATGTGGATTATGAGCATTTCAGATCCGTTGGTTGTTTAGCTTTTGCTGCAACTATTTCACCAGGGAGGAACAAGATGGGATCCAAGGCCTCAAAGTACATATTCTTGGGTTTTCCTGCTAATGTCAAAGGCTACATGTTATATGATGTTATTAACAAAGTTACTTTTGTTTCTAGGGATGTCAAATTCTATGAACATGTTTATCCTTTCAGAGACAAAAATCTAGATGTCAATAAGCCTGCATCAGAGTTGTTTAATCCCACCTTTCCTCTTGTTCCCATTTCTGTTGAAGCAGATGCTAGTTCTTTAGAGCCAACAAGAGGACATGTTATCCCTGCAGCCACATCTCAAAGTTGTGACAACAACTCTGATGAGATAACCAGTAGAGCTCTGTTGAATGATGATGATATTCACTCTGGTGAGACAGCCAATGATGCCTTGATGAATGGGCAGTCACCAAACCTCTTTGTTGAATTACCCTCTGTTAATACATCAGATGAGGTTGATAGGCAAGCTCAATCTGATAACATTCCACAGCCAAGAAGATCATCTAGAACAAGAAATGTTCCATCAAAGTTGCAGGATTACCTGTGTCAATCTACCATGATGAGAAGTAGTTTTAGAACCTCACCACACTCTATGGACAAGTTTATCTCCTATGATAACTTGTCACGCAGCCATAGATTGTGTGCATCATCCATTACCACTTCACATGAACCTCAAACTTACAAAGAGGCAGTCAGAAGTGAAGAATGGAGGAAAGCAATGCAAGATGAAATAAAGTCCTTGGTTCAGAATGATACATGGCTATTGACAGATCTGCCAGCAGGAAAGACTCCCATTGGCTGTAGATTGGTGTACAAAATTAAACACAAATCAGATGGTTCTATTGAAAGATATAAGGCCAGGCTAGTGGCAAAGGGATATACTCAACAATTAGGTGTTGACTATATTGAAACTTTTTCTCCCGTGGCAAGAATGACAACAATCAAAACTTTTTTGGCTGTGGCTGTGGCAAAAGGATGGGACATCTAACAACTTGATATTAACAATGCTTTTCTTCATGGGGATTTGCAGGAGGAAGTGTATATGGTTGTGCCACCAAGTTTTCAAACTGATAAGCCCAATCAAGTTTGCAAACTGCTGAGATCTTTATATGGATTAAAACAGGCTAGTAGACAATGGAATGCCAAATTAACTAAAGCATTGCAAGACAATGGTTTCAGACAATCATCTGCTGATCCTTCTCTGTTTACCAAGAAAACTTGTTATTCTTTCATTGCTTTGTTGGTATATGTTGATGATATCCTGGTTGCAGGAACATGTTCTGTTCAGATTAAAGAATTGAAACAATTTCTGGACAACTCTTTCAAGATCAAAGATCTTGGTCCATTAATATACTTTCTTGGCATTGAAGCTTTCAGATCCTCTAAGGGTATCAACATCTACCAGAGGAAGTACACTCTTGAGATCCTTGAAGAAAATGGCTTCATGGAAGCCAAGCCTGCTAATACTCCTTTCAATGCAGGTCTAAGACTTCATAGTTTGGATGGGGTTTTGCTTGAACAACCTGAAGTTTATAGAAGATTGGTTGGCAAGCTTTTGTACCTGACAAACACTAGGCCAGATATAACATTTGCAGTGCAACAGCTTAGTTAGTTTGTGGACAAGCCTAGAGATACTCATTTGGTTGCAGCTCATAGAGTGTTAAGATACTTGAAGGGTTCTCCTGGTAAAGGCTTTCAAATTCAAGGTTTTTCTGACTTTGATTGGGCAACATGCATAGAGAGCAGAAAATCCATAACAGGTTACTGCATTTATGTTGGGCATTCCCTAGTTTCATGGAAAACAAAGAAGCAGGCTACTGTGTCTAGATCATCTTCTGAGGCTGAGTACAGAGCCTTGGCTTCCACAGTGTGTGAGATACAATGGTTGTTATACCTATTGGCAGATTTACAAGTTGAAATCAGTAATCCTGTGGCCTTGTTTTGTGATAATCAATCAGCAATTGTAATAGGAGAAAACCATGTTTTCCATGATAGAACAAAACATATAGAGATTGACTGTCATGTAGTCAAGCAAAAGGTCCAAGAAGGGGTGATCAAATTGCTAAGCATCTCATCACAGAATCAGAATGCTGATGGATTCACTAAACTCTTGCCTAAACCAGCTTTTGATTTCTTCCATTCTAAGCTGGGCCTTCAAGATCTTCATGCTCCAGCTTAAGGGCGGGGGGGGGGGGGGGTGATGGAGTGTCTTTGATCAGTCAGCTTTGCTCTTTGTTCAGATCAGTAAGTAAGCAGTTTTGGTTCAGCTAACAGCTTTTAGGGGCCAAGGCCTTTTTGGTCTTTTCCTGTTAAGATGGCAGTTATAACTGCCATCTCTTCCTCTCTCCTTTTATAAGGCTGTAATCTTCTTTTTCTTCTGAAGTTTTCCTCTCCAATAATACAACATGCTGAGCTTCTTACCATAGATGAACTTTGTCACTTTCACCATGAGTTAATCTATCTTAACATACTGCTCGAATGGAGACATTGCCAATTCGATTCTTACACATTGCGAGAGCTATCCTGATTTTACAAAGCTGTTTTATGATTTAATGTGATTTATGATTTAATTCTTAAAAGTATTTAAACTGTACTACATGATCAGTACGTGGTACTGCTGAAGCAACTTGTGAAGATTGTTCGGGTATTCGTGTGTCAGTCCTGGATAGGTGTTAGAAAGAGTGGTAGTGGTAAAGGCTGGAGGCCATCTTCATTTACCTCTTGTAATACTCCTTTTGGTGAACATCTATAGTGGATTGGGCAGACGTGGGTTGCCCCGCAGACGTAGGAGAAGGAGCTCCGAACTGCGTAACAATTTCTTTGTGTTTTTAATTTACTTTATGCTTTCTGTAGTTATTATTTATACTTGCGTAAACGAGTTTAATTAATTAACTAAATTGGTGCATAACTTAATTAACAAGTAAAAACACATAGCTTTTATGTTTCAAGTGTCACGGTGCAATTTCATATAAGAAATTATGATGAACTTGAATTTTAGGAATTATATTAAATTATATTTCGAATGAGGATAAATCTTCTGTGAGACCGACTCCCAAATCCATTTCGGTGAGACGGATCGGGTCATGATGAAAATGTAATACGTA